TTTAAAAAGGTGAAATCGAAGTTGTTTTATGTTTTTGTATATTAAACCTGATCTATGCATTATTACACAAATAAAAACATATACACATCATCGTCAAAACCAGGGGAGTTATTTAAAAAAAAAATTTTATTTAGTTGATATGTCCGATCTTGAAAAATTTAAAAAAAGCTTGACCGGATACTTTTCCGAGGGTAGTGTAGCTCAACAATTTCATCTCCATAATATTTTATTTATTATGGATTTTAGTATAGACATATGATGTATTGTATTATGTGATGCATTACCTAAAAATATGTTATTAAGAGTAAGTTGCTTAAGCAACCGAATTTATCTTATTTTGGTGGATGATAAATAAATTTTCCAAATTGATCTGCGTTTCAAATTTGAATGGTCACGTGATTTTTTCTGATCCAAATTATGAATTAGCTAGAGCACTTTTTTACCTGCGCTTTTTGCCTTGCCTCTATCTCTTTTTGGAATGTCAAACCTTAGTAGCCGAATTACAAGAGGATCATCTTCGGGCTTATCTAAGTCAAATAAATACGTAGCTATTAATAGCATGGACACATCAACATAAATATGTCTGTACTACGGAAGGTCATAGAAATTCCGCATGCGTGAAATATAATCACAAAAAATTTCTCCAGTAAAATTTGTACTCACCGTTTCAACAATAGCTTTTATTTTTGTCACGTTGTGTTACTCATGACTAAAAAACATCAACGAAAAACTGAAGAAGCTGAAAGTGAGAGTACTTCAGAGACTTCACGAAAAGCTTCAAAAAAACAAAAAACTGTAGTTGCACCTGCACGGCATTCTGAACGTATTTTCAGACAAGATTCGTCCTTAAGAATAAGTTCTGGTTCCGTTTCCGGATCCCGTTCCAGTTATGACCTAAAAGATCTCCCTTCTGATGCATCTAAATTCACAGAAAAAGATATTGTGGCACTTAATGCGACCTTCAAACCGGCAGACGAGGATGAGATTATCATGCCTGATGTTGAAGGTAAGAAATATGAAAATAATCTCAGCGAACCTATACTTATAATTTAAATATTTCTAGTCACGGACCCTCCGAGTCAATACCTTCTCCCAGACATCGGTCGTGATGTTCTCGAAAAGCAAAATTTTGATATTCGGATGCTTAATACTACAGATAAATTTGTAAAACAGTTCTTTTGGTCTCTAAACAGAGTTGTCGTGAATTCAGGTCTTGACATAGGAACGGTGGAATCTAAGACCGACTCATTAGTAAACCATCTATTAACTCGCGCACTTGGATTCGATGGATGGCCATTTGGTGTTAGGTGAGTTATAAATGCCTTTTTATTGCGGTGACTAATTAAGTCATCATACTTTAAATCTAGAATAAAAGAAAACTACAAGCTGGCCATTGATGATAAGAAAGTGTCTGCAAGTCCTGATTTTGTAGTGGATATGGGTGGAATTACTATTTTAGTAACAGAGGTTTTGTATTATCGCTTGAAAATCAAAACCTACATTTTCTTAAAATTTTGATATCTTAAAATCTTTCAACAGGATAAACATTTGAAAAGGGTTTCGTTACCTGACTATGGTGAAGCGCAAATACTTGCTGAGTTACTCGCTTGTGGATGGGAAAATATGAATCGATCTTGGTCTGGGAAATATATCGATCAGACTATTTATGCAATCCGTTTCATCTCTTCATATGTGACATTTTACAAAGCTGAGATTCCTAAAGCATATTGGAAAGAACTCAGGAGAGGCTTACCGCATAAGCAATCAATTGAGATCTTAAGATGGCCGGGGGAAAATACAAAAGAATCTGGTCTAGATTTAGCAGTTGCTGAAGATAGGGATATAATATTCGAAGCTTTAACTAAACTTCGTGAATATTTTCTTTCATTCGACTCCTCCACTACCACTTTTACCAATGCTTCCTCCTCCACTACCAGCGCCACAGCACCTGCGGAACAGAGTAGCAAGAGTTAATGATTTATTGTTCAATCAATGATAAACAATGATCATGTGAATTAGGTTATGCATTTCTTATTGTTTTTTGTCGTGAAATTGTTAAATAAAAAAGTCGTTGATTTCGCAGATTATATATCAAAGTTATAAATTAGTTTATTTTACAAGAAAATTTTATTTAAAACTTGACTAAATTAGTGAATAATTTAGGATTACTAAGATATTTTTTTGGGAGGAATTTACCGTATCAAAAACGGAATAATGCTGTTCAGCAGTTATATTTTGATCGTCGTCTTTATTCATTCTTATATTAACGATTTAATTCATCTTTTCAAACGAAAATATATATTACCTTTCGAAACATTATTAGGTTGTTTTTTTACAAAATCGTCAGGAGATGAATGCGTTAGTTACCTTGTTTCGGTTCAAACGTTTCGCATGCGATTCAAACCATCACTTATTCATTCCCACAAACGTTTTGCACTGCCATTAATAATTGGCATACCGCAATTTAATTGTCAACAGTCAGTACGCATTTCAATTCCCTTAACATTCATCTTTTATAGTTGGCTCACATAATTAATAAGAAATACGCCACATCTTCTGCCATTGGTGTCGAAAACATCATACATAGTTTCTAATATTAATCCCTGACGACAACTCTATCGGTTACGCAATGGAAATACTTCGATTAATAATGAACCATCATCTGTTACAACAGATGCATGGAATTTTAGAGCAGCTCTAGTCAATGAGAAAGTATCTACACCTCTGAATATCGATCAACTACGCAGTTAGCAAATACTTTGCAAGAAAAAAAGATTACATAGTTGACGAAAAAGAAAAGACATTTGATTAACTAAAAAAGGGCAGAAAAAAAGTGAACAATTCTACAAAATTGAAAACCTTTTTTCTTTTTAAAATTTATCTCTCGATTTGGTAGTATTCTTTTAGTAACGATTTTACAAAATATGCATCACTTTTCGAGATAGGATATCCATTTTTTTCCTCTTTTTTCTCGTATGTAATTAATTATCTTTAATCAAATATATATTTTTTTATTAGTGTATGTATGAGAAAGATCGTTTTGCGTTATTACGATTTCGCAAAGGATCAATTCGGATTATGAGTCATCAGATGAAATATTTTTATATCTTCTATCGTCGGACCAGAATATAAATATTATCAAATTGTTATGAAGTATGGGACGCGAATGTTAAGGAAGGTGAGAAAAAAACGCTTATATTATTGAAAAAAATTATCATAGGAAATAGATGAGGTAAGTATTTGCCTAATAAACATGATGATTATAATTTATTTGGTGATGTTGATAGTTCTGAAAGTGAAATGGAGGAGTAGAGGTTGAAACCGGCCAAAAAATTAACCGGATAATTAACCGGTTAAAAATTAACCGGTTCCAACCTCTAAAATGGAGAATGAAGGTATGAGATAATTTAATGTTATAATTAAGTGCAATAAATATTATTATCGTGCTCACCAGTATGATGTAGACGATCTTGTTTTTAATATTTTTAGTGATATCACGGAGTTTATATGAAAATTAGCTATACAATAATTTATTTTAAGCAAATAATAATACAATAAATAATACTTATTAATATACATATTAATTTCAAGTAACTTGTTTCTATTTTCAATATAATAAATAATATAAGCGTAAAGATGGTAATTATAGAATATTTTCTAACTGTAAACGTATAGTATTTTAGGAGCTAAAGATAAAAGGGGCTAATTAATAAATATCTAAAAAAAATAATTTTTCTAGCAAGTGTTTAGATAATTTATTCTTTTTATTTTTCGCGAATTCAATTCAATTATGTGGAATAGAACATCTACAATTACCACCTTCTGCAAATTTATTTTTTATTTTTTTTTGATTTCAAAATTTTTTTTAATTAAAGTTGAAGCTGTGATCCATTACTATGCTGAAAATAGGTCATGTGATCTAAATTATTGACATAGTTGACAAAGTTGACAAAGTTGCTAAAGTTATCAATGTTGATCTAGTGGACAAATTAGATAATGGATTATAGTTATTATATTTATTAATTATATCTTATTTATTATAATTATTATATTTAACATAGTTGTATTATTTATTCTTTTTATTATATTTGTTATATGGTGCCAGAAGTCTTAACTCAAAAATAAAATTGTAACACTTAAAAAATTTTAAACTCCTTAAAAAAATAAAATTTTAAACAAATAAACTGGTAACTTTGTTCTTTATAATAAGTACTATTAAATTACTGGTCAGATTTCTGAAAAAATGTCTACATAAAAAGTTATAAGCATTTTAAATCAGATGATTTTCATATGACTAGCCCAAATTTGAAACGAATTAAATCATGTGTATGTAATTTTATTGGTCAATATTTTTGGCCAAAATTATAGTAATTTAATGTCAGCCAGAATTATCGCAATTTATTATACTCAGAAAATATTTCGTTTTAGATAAATTAAATTTTTTTTTTAGCCGATAACCATTTTTTTTTACATTTAAATTTGAAATTAATTAATTCTTTAAAATGACATGTAAAATAAAAAGACAACAGCAAATTAGCAAGATTCCAGAAAGAAAGGATGTTTTATATCTCAGGATCAAGTTACTGCTATTGAAGAAGAATGGATGAAAGACAAAGTTATTGAAGAATGGTCAAAAGAAGAGGCTATTGAAAATTAACAGAAAATGAAAATATAGAGGATATAATTTCTGACAATGAAATAAGAAATGATACTGTTGAAAATTGCTCAGAAGAAGATTTTAAAGCATTTAAAGAGATAGGAAAGAGATTTATTAATAAAGCTCTTAATTGGCATAAGGATGCTACAAGCAGTATTAGGGCAATATATACTGGAGATTCAAAGACAACGCTGTGAAAAAATGAAAAGAAAAAAGCAGAATTAGAAAAGCACGTTAAAGGAATATAAAAGATTGATACTTTCTTTAAATTAGCTTCTGAAGATATTGGATCATCAAAACCAATACCAATTGATACAAAGACTGATCTACATACATGTTTATAAAAGCTTAACCAATTATATTCAATAGAAAAATCTAAAAAAGAAAATTATAATATATTTACCTATAATTATATATGTCTTTTAAGTATACGCTAATATATACAGAAATTATTAGATGGAGAAGGAAAAATGATGACTAATAGTCAAATTTCTCAGGTTATGTGAAATAAAGAAGACTATATGACTCAATACATTAGAAAATAGGAAAATCATTTTATACGAACTGGTGAACTTCCTGTACATTCTCAAGAAAAGCATATGAGAATTGAGAGTCTGTTAGATGATGAGAATTTTATTGAAGATTGTCAAGTGTAATTATAACAACAAATATCAGAAACATATTCTTCCTATAATTTAAAAATGTATATTAAAGAGATATTATTTTCAAACTTAACAGGAAATATTAAAAAAGATACAATTGCTGAAAAGACATGTCAAAATTATATGTATTTATAGGGATATAGGTATGATGAAAGGAGGAAGGGTATTTATTATGATAGATATGAGAGGTTGGATGTGGTAGAATATAGAAAAGGGTGGCTGAAAAGAATATTTACATACAAAAAATTTATGAAGAAATTTGATGGTGATATGTTAGATATTGTATTGAAACTCAAACTTAAACTAGAAGAAAAAGAATTTGTTCAGGTAATACATAATGAGTATTACTTTTACGCAAATAATGGACAACGAAGAATTTGGGTTAGAAAGGAAGAAGATATTTTACATTCAAAACATTTAGGACGCTCTATAATAGTTTCTGGTTTTTTTTGTCTATGTCATAGATTATTACAACTATCTGATAAGTAATTACAGAAAAATCTGCATATAAAAGATAAGAATGCTTATATTCTTTGTTCTGTATAAGCAGATGAATATTAGATCTCAAAACATATAATAGAACAGGTTTGATTATATTTTTTTTTATGAAAAAAAGAAAAAAAAATTTTAAATGCTAAACCAACTTACTTTATCTTTATAATATATTATAGCTTATACAAAAAAACAATTCCAATATTTGAGATATTACACCCTGGATGCATTGGTATTTTTTGTTTCGATCAGTCAACCAATTACAATGCTATAGTAGAGAATGTATTGATCGCAACTAAAGATAGCGTTGCAACATTGTGACACTTATTTGTCACCTGTTGCAACTTAAATTTTAATAATGTTGCAATTTGTTGCAACATTATGATGCTTATTTGTCACCTGTTGCAACTAATTGAGACGCCATCTTTAATCGCAACAAAAATGAATTTAGAATCTAGAGGAAAATAACCTAAAATGTGTGACAGGTGGTATATTAATGAATATGAAAATAAATGTATACAACCTATAATATTTCCAAACAATTATCTAGCAGAAAATTTAAGAGAGAAATTAAAAGGAATTAAAAAAATGCTTGAAAAACGTAATCTTTAGCCTAAGGAAAAGATCAATTTAGTATGCAAAAAATGCTCTGAAAAGGATGTTGATAATGACTTAACAAGACGGAATTGTTACATATAATAAATAATATCCTTACAGCTTGACTTTTTTGAACAACAGTCAGCATTAGAAGAAATAATTGTTAGATCAAAACATATTTTTAAACGGTATCTAAAGTTTATTGTAAATGTAACTTTATAAAGCGATACTGGAGCTTTGTAAAATGAGAGACTAGAGAATTATGTAGTTATAACTATTTAGACCTACTTATACATATTCCTAGAACTCTTAATAATATTTCTATAACTACTATTCGAAAGTTTATACATAAATTATGGAGATATATAGACACATGTAATAAAGGATTAGAGGGCAGGACCGCTGAATGGGCTGTTAATAAATACAAGTCATACCATTGGTTACCAAAAAATATTAAAAGAATAATAGATAATTAGTAATATAATTACATTATAATAAAAAAAATAATTATATATAATACTTAGCTTTTTTCAGATTTGCGAAAGTTTCTTCACAGATTTTTTCTA